TGATGAGAGTTTCATGTTGAAACACTATGTAGGTCTGAATATATATTGAAAGATGTTTTAACTTTTGATTTATTGAATATAACAGCTCTAGTTATCTATTGAATGGTTTTTGTCAGAATTTCTGATAGCCTGAAAAAGAAAAACATCTTAAATTCTTGTCATTTTCACATTTTTTCTGTTGTATCATCATTATATATATATATATATATATATATATATATATACGTGTGTGTGTGTATTTAGGCAACATCTTTTCATTAAATAATATAGACATACTTCCCATACTTCATACTTCTCCAATTCACTGTCGTGTGTTCATGTGTGACGTCATGAGATGCGGTGCGATTTTTGCTTCTAGCGTCTTATATGCATGTGTTTATCGTTGCTTAGAAATCATCTATGTAAACAATGACAGACTATCATCACTGTCTTGTCCATATATTATGTTGTAATTGACATCTTTGATAATGGCTTATGTAAGCGGAAAGCTTAGATTGTATTAAATAAAAAATATGGATCAATATTGTGAATTTCTTTCTTCGTTCAACGATAATGTTATTAAACTTATCAGACGTTACGAAAAAAATTTACATAAAATAAATAGACAACACTTGTCTATATTATTTAATGAAACGTGTATATATATATATATATATATATATATATATATATATATATCACACTAAATAATTGAGAACAGATTATGCTATAAAGGAAAACAAAGGTACTCAATAGTGAAAATCAGTGTGTACACACATACACAATTATGAAATGGACAAAGTCCGACAATTATTTTAAGACATTTTTATGTTTATACATTCTTTTTATAGATACAGATATTTAACATTATTATATTATTATAAACAGAGCATTTACTTAAATATTTGTATCTATAAAAAGAATGTATAAACATAAAAATGTCTTAAAACACACAATTGTATACAATTTTCAACTTAGAAAAACAGAGAAAGGGTACACAATAAAAACACTCTTAGCCTCAAAGACAGCTTTAATATGGCCTAGGAAGTGATTACATTCATGCTTCCTATGATTCTCAATCATTTTGGCTGTCACATCCACTCTCCTTAGTATAGTGAGGCTCTATAGCTTATCTCGCTCTTGCTCTCACCCCAAATGCAGTAGGATATCACATATTAGAGGTGACATGATTATGAAAATTCTTAGCTACTCCTGGGTCATGTGGAAGGGAGCAGGGTTCAGCTAGAATATGTACAGCTATCTGTATGTCCAGTACCCTGGTATAAGTAGAGACATAGACCTTGTGGGAAGAATTGAAGCAATATAACATACCCCCCACCTCCACAAGCCAAGTGTTGTGAGCAAAGACAGCATGAACTTTGTGTATATCACTGTGGGTATCTCCTTGGGCTCTGCGCAAAGCTGTTTGTCATAACTCTATTCATCTGGCTGCTTTCAAGAATCTTGCTATCTCAGATTTGCTGTTGGTTGGCAGCTTGTGCTATGAACATGGCATGCTTTTTAAATTCCTATCAGATCGGAAGCTTCCATGTTAATTCTCTTGAGACATGTGAATGAGAAATGAGAATGTTAACATTTAACGCATACTAAGTAACATTACACCAGGTCATTTTCCCTTTGTAGCCCCCTTCCCATTAAATGCGTGTGTTGAAATACTTGGTACACCCCTGTATTACTAAGAGTTTTAGAAGTTCAATCTACACAGGATGTCCTCTTATGGCTCAACACTGGTGCTATACATATATATAATTAATACAAGTAAAAAGTTTGTCACTTAAATGATTGATGTTACCATCAGCATCTAGACTCCTGAGTTTTGTAGCTGGAACCTCCAGGAATCACTGTCCACTCGTCAGGGGCTATCAGCAATTGACTGTTTATACTTCTAGATTTTTCATTTTTTATATGCATTTTTCATTAGTGCAAGTTTCTTTTTTTTTCATAGTGTATGTGGGTTCATGCATCCCTGTGTGCGTACATGTAGAATGTTGTGGTTATTTGTCCTTTTCATTTGTTTTCTTTTACTTTACACTCACACCTCATGTCACTTTAAATGTTATTTTTAGTGGATACTTATATTTGAGTAGATGCTCTGTTTATTTATTAAACAATATATTTATTTATTTTCGATGACCTGTGTGTGTGCTTGAGAAATCTTATTATAGAAAAGTTTTTTGCTCTCTGGCGAAATTTGAACTTATATCCCTCTGGGCAGAGGGAATTATCCTTAAATCTGATATGCTCTAACCAATTGAGCTATAAAGAACCATTTAGTCAGGCAAAGGCCAAATTGTGCATTTAAATGAAACTTCTCTTGTCAAAGATCTCCCAATATCGTTCATATGTGCAGTTTCATACCCGAACATAAACAAAGAGAATTTTAGATAAAGTAGCAGATTCTTTATTAATCTCACAGATTTTTATCACTTTAAATGTTATTTTTAGTGGATACTCATATTTCAGTAGATGCTCTGTTTATTTATTAAACTGTATATTTATTCATTTTCGTCTACTGACCTGAATGTTCTAGAAATTCCATTAAAGAAGATTATAAATCCTATTCTTAAATGGTCTTATATATGATAGTAAAGAAAGATTGTCCACATATGCTTCTGTAATATGTAGATATAGTAAGCCGATGAAACTAATTTGAGAAATAAAAAAAAAAAATAATAATACTGATAGGACTAATAATATCATATATTAGTAGAGATTTTAATCAAATGGAAGCAAGATGAGAATGATATAATTTTCAACAAGAAATAAAAAATAATGTGGGTTTGGGGGCGGAGGGTATGCATTTGTTTTTTTTTTTTTTGTTTGTTTTTTTTTGCATGCTGTTCAGCAACCTTGACATATTTGGGAAAGATATTAGAATAATCAAAAATCTCTATTGGCAGCAAACTTCCTGCATAAGGATAAAAAATGAGTTCAGCAGATATACAAAAATAGAAAGGGGTGTAAGACAAGAATGTGTCTTCTTACTGGACATATTCAACCTATACAGTGAAGGAGTGAAAGTGAAAGAGAACGAGAGGGAGTGAAAGAGAACGAGAGGGAGTGAAAGAGAACGAGAGGGAGTGAAAGAGAACGAGAGGGAGTGAAAGAGAACGAGAACGAGAGGGAGTGAAAGAGAACGAGAACGAGGGGGAAAGAGAACGAGAACGAGAGGGGAGGAAAGAGAAAGAGAACGAGGGGGAGGAAAGAGAAAGAGAACGAGAGGGGGAAAGTGAAAGAGAACGAGAGGGAGGAAAGTGAAAGAGAACGAGAGGGAGAAAGTGAAAGAGAAATCGAGAGGGGTGGAAAGTGAAAGAGAACGAGAGGGAGGAAAGTGAAAGAGAACGAGAGGGAGGAAAGTGAAAGAGAAACGAGAGGGAGGAAAGTGAAAGAGAACGAGAGGGAGGAAAGTGAAAGAGAACGAGAGGGAGTGAAAGAAAGAGAACGAGAGGGAGTGAAAGTGAAAGAGAACGAGAGGGAGTGAAAGTGAAAGAGAACGAGAGGGAGTGAAAGTGAAAGAGAACGAGAGGGAGTGAAAGTGAAAGAGAACGAGAGGGAGTGAAAGTGAAAGAGAAGACTGAGAATGGGGAGGACTGAGGAAAGGACAAGAATAAGAACAGGGTTTAATACGACAAAAAATGGCGATTGACATTACATTTAAATTTTTGAAGATTGTAGGGAAGCAAGAAATTGGAAGGGAGTTCCACAGGTGTGAAGCATGAGAAAAAAAAAACTTCTAGAGTTGGAATGGCAGTTGCATCTTGCTAGTTCAATAGTAAAACGGTGTGACCTAGATGCCAATCTAGTATCACGCTTAAGTTCATGTAGTTGGGTTGCCATAAAGATATTTGTAGAAAAGAGATGGAAGGTGAGAAGGATGCTTGGTCAGGATCAATAATATTACAGACCCTTCATTGGATTTTGTTAAGAATCTTGAGATATATATCAGGAGCATCAGATCGGATATAGCAATGGTATTCAATGTATGGATAAATGGTATATTTATAAATGCAGAATGTTCTAACAAGAAAAATTTTCTGGCACAACATACTGAACCTACTTTTCTTTCAATAGATATAGCAATTGATTCAATATAGTCGCTTCACTTCAAGTTAGTGGAAAACATGAGATCAAGAAAGCATAGATTGTTGCTCTCTTTGAGTTTAGCATCAGCCATGCTGATGGTCGGCAGAAAAGGTTCTCTGTGGTGATTAAATAAAAACTATTTATTCATTTTATTAACGTTTAACATAAAAATGATTTTGGTATTAAATGACCCATAAAGTGTTGATATGCCCTAAAACCAATCAATCAAAATATTGGGCTTGAGGGATGTACTTAAAAGAATTTGCTGCCACTATTTCAAGCTGTGTGTGTGTGTATTTTAAATTTAACTATGATATCATCATATGAAGAAGGGAAATTCCACGTTGTCTTAATGATGGCCTGACATTATGTGACTGTACAATAAATGGAAAAATAAAAAAACTAGTATTTAATTTTAAGCAATTTTGAAAATACTTTCAATGTATTTCTTACGTGTGTTATTTAATGTCTTCTAGAATGCAAACATTTGTGCTAGAGTTACTTGTCTGATTTAGTAAGAGATGAATTATAACTTTGAAAAGAACCCTGTCTAGCAAAGATAGATACTGATAGTTTGGGATACATGATATTTATTCATGAATTATGGACACTGGCAAGCCTCAATGTATTGCTTAAGCTTTGGTAGCTCAATGCGTATTCTATTGATTGATTTGTTTATAAACTTTTTGCAGGTTATTTAAAGCCAGAAAATATTTTTAGATTGTAAGAATTTTTTTTTTGAGTTAATAATGATTCCCTGATACAAGTCCTACAGATTAACCCATAGCTACGGAGAGAAGACAGAGATTCATACCTTTATCAAGGGTATTTGTGTGTAACAAACATAACTGGAATTGGAACTCTGCTCTCCAATTTTCAATTCTGAGTAGTTACACCACCTGCACATCCAAGCTTAAAGCACCTAATATTCCAAAGTGGTCACCCATCTAAGTACTGATCATGCTCAGCATTGCTTAACTTCAGTGATCATATGAGAACTGGGGTTTCAATATGAAATGTCCATAAACTGGTTAATGTGTAAAGTACACTATTCAAGATTATAAGTTGTAAGGTTAAAAAGGCTGAATACCTATGAAAATAAAGGGATTTCTTTTCTCTTTTTAACTATTGTATTAATACATTGTCTTAAGTAAGTGTCTTAACCAAGTATTTCATAATTTCTGTGGTTAGTTTTATAAAATCCATTGTAAATACAATATACAAAGGTTTCCTGACAAGTTCTTCACCTGGTCAAGAAATGAATGACCTTAAGTTATGAAGAGTTTGCACTATTCTATATGCTCAGTCTGTATTCAACACACTTGGCATGTTGCTTCTCAAGTTTCTTTCACTCTTACAAAAGAATCTAACATTTGGTCACTGGAACATTGCTCTGCTGTTATCACCTCTGCATCATTTGAAAATTTCCTAATTATCAAAGTAGATTTATGGTTGGAAACAAGGAATAGTTGGATGAAGCAAAATCTGGTGAGTAGTCTGTATAGGTCTAAATATCAATCATGGGCCACATGTGGCCTGTTTGGTCTTTCTTGAATGGCATACTTAATTTCCTAATGAAAATAACATTTCTTAAAATTTTATTTTGTTTTGTTTTGTTCTCACTTATTCATTCACACACTCTCTCATACATAACTGCATACATAAACAATGATTAAGTACAATGTTTCTTGAATTTTGTAAACTTTCGGGGAAACTAACATTTTCATCATTTTAAAACATTGGTAATTTCCACTAAGGAAGATCATATGTGTAAACATCTTTTGTTTTTTAAACAGGAAATGTTCATAAGAATTTTTTCTCTAAAGAAGAAATGTTTTCATTTTCAAATGAATAAATTAGAAATAAATCATAAGTGTCATGTGTTAATCACACTGTCATCAGTGATAATATTAGACCAAGACTTGAATTTTTTAATTATAAAAAATATTTTCTAAACAAAAACTTTCCTCCCATTTCTAAGGTACATGCTTATGCATATGATCTTCTGTAGTAGAAATAGCTGGGGTACCTATTACGAAAATTTACTTTGAATCTTTTTAGCAACGTGGCATGCCTTGTGATGAGCTATAGATCATGCATGTGGCCCACTGCTCAAAAAAGGTTGCCCATGCCTGGTCTATATGTTCAAATGTCAAATTCTTTAAAATATTTGTCTTTTTGCCAGCCTTGTGAGCAGGGTGCATTTTTCTGAAAAAAAAAAAAAAAAAAAAAAAAGAGAACACTTTTCTAGTGCTTACTTCACTGTTTTTCTTTCACTGACTCCTTTAATTGGCATCCACAAGTCAGAGTAGTATTCTGTATTAACTGGTCTTTCGAAAGATGCTCTTTTGTACCAGATACAAATACTGCCTGGAATAGTCATACTGGTGGAAATTTCCCAAGTAAGCAGCCAGTTGAAATAAACATTCTACCAATTTATGTTCTTTTTTGTGGTGGGGGGGGGAGAGACTTCAAAAAGGGTTTGCTGCTGAGGAAAGAAATGAGATTCACTCCAATACTGTAAATTGTGGAACGCACAGTCCATTGTAGATTGTAGCCAATTGCAATCTTTTCTTAACGGCTGTTGGCAGTGGAATGCCTGCCTCTTCAAGCGAATCCTGAAATACATGCTAAACCCATGAATATTCCTCAGTTAATGTTATTACAAGGATTGCATTTGTGCATGTGCACTATTTGCATTGCCAATGGCCATCTGCACACAAAGCATTGTGCTTGTTTAGCTTCAGGTAATTTGTCCCCTTTTCATAAAAATTGAACAAAATCATCATGCCACAGAAAATTATTTTACTATACCAAATTATAGTGATGGTAATATTAGCTGTTTCCTTCTAAGGAAACATTTGGCATTCATTGACTGAACAGCTTGTGGTATTTTCAGTTGAAATCTCTTAAAACAATTTTTCAGGAAAATAGGTTTCTCAAGTCTAGTAATTGTGATTTCCAGTATTGATAGGGGGTTTCCTTACTAACCTTTTGTTTGAAGTAGTGTGAAATATCAACATCTTGATTATGCCATTATATTTTTATCTAGTTACATGAGCTACCCATTTCAGTTGTTGCTGCTGTTGAAAGTACTCAAGTGATGAGGTTTCTGTTATTTGGTACAGTTCTTTGTGATTCTGTAGCGCCAGTTCACAAGATTCAAAAAAGGATGGTATTCGCTAAGACCTTACAGGCTTCATTTGCTTGAAGCCATTTTTAATCATTGATCTAAGACAGAAGCTGTATATGGTTGACAGTTTAGTTATTTCTAAAGAGATTGGCACAATGTATAGCATCCATATGAAAGACTTGATCTGATGAGACTATTTAAGAACAGGACTCTAGCTTTTAGGTTAATGTTTTGGCTTTGTATCAATTTACAGTGTTTGGTAAAACTACCCCTAGCATAGCCTATTTGATGTTCAGTTTTCTTATCGCCTATACTAAATTTGTTATAACTGATCCATACACTGATGGCTTTGAAGGGTTTAGTAATTTGTAATTCCACATACTAAATTTTTATGATAGATTCAAGGTAGGTACCATGGCTACTTTCATTCCAATTCCAGATTATAGTTTCTGTTTGGAAAGGTTTATCTTGTTCTATTTCTTGGAACATTTGGTAGAAGGCATTGATTTTTAATGTCAATGAAGGAAAATTCAAAGAATTAATTTAGTGTCAGCTCTTGTATTTGGCACGCAAGAATAGCCATTAAAATACCTTTTTATCGCAGAAAACTGTGGTCAAGACTTTTCCTGTTGACTTTTGAATTCCTTTGGCCACAGAGAACTTGAGTACTGTCACTGCATGGGTTGTTGGTTTCTCTCAAGATCATCGCTATACGACCATGTTTCATAAACAGTGACATGTAGTTAAAAAAAAAAATGAAAAAAAAATAATCACGGAATGCTGAAAATGGTATAAAATCAATATTATTTCTGGTTGGCATTTACAAATTTTTGGCAATCATTTGTCAGACAGTTTCTGTATACCCAACAGCTAATAAATTTTAACCCTACACATTCCCTAGATATTTTTAATATTTCAGAAATTCTTTTGGAAAAGATTTCTCAATCAGCTAAAATGAAGTCATAAGCATAATCAACAATTTCACCATGTTGCATTTTAGGTTTCAAAATTTCTATGCAGAAAATTGGTACACTATTCTACATAGTTGAGCCTGATTGGTACTTTTGATCAAATATTTGTGTCATACACTTATGGATTTCATTTGGGGGTTTTATTCTGCAGGAGCAGGAAGTTCATGATGATCCAGAATCCAATATTTGAAAATTGCATATTTTCTGTTGGCATGGATCAGTCAATGATGGAAAACGAATTCAAAGATAAGCATGAGCATTTTGTAAATTGGTACTTTACAAAAGAATACTCTTGACAGCTATAGTGACAAAATAATGTTTAGATTTTGGAAAGTGGCACAGACCAAGAAATTTTCACAATCTCCTGGTATATATTCACATCAACAGATTTAAGTTTTTAAGTTATATATATATTTTATTTTTCTGTGAATTTAGGCTGCAATAATTATTTTTAGGGAAAATACTATTGAAAACAAATATTTTATTTTATATATGAGCTGTGATAATAGTAATAAATCGAGCAAATACCAAATTACTATAAAGCTGGGGCTTTTTAATGTCAGAATTTGTGGGAGAATTAAACTCCAATTTCGCATTTATTCATATAGATCCTATAATATAGGTTTTACTTAATTAACTATTACGTTTACCTAACTACAAATGTGGAATGTATAACTAATTCTAATTTTTATTTTCCCATCTTTACACTATATTAATTTTATCTTATAAATTGTCCCCTGTTCTATCACCCATGAAACAAAAATAATTGTACGGAAAATAAGGATATAGGTACATGAAATCATCTTTAAATTAAGGGGCAGCAGAAGAATTATTGTTGAACTTTTAAAAGGTAAGCTTAAACATTAATTCAATTTTAAGTTCTTCAGTAGTTAATCGATGCCTATTGCATTTACTTCTCCCTAACTATTGTGATGATGGCCAAAAATTTTAAGCTAGCTGCAATTTTTGATACAAAAGGAAAAAAAAAAAAGAGTTACTCCCCTTGCACCATGAAAGTAACAATGATGGCTAGTATAATATAATATAATATATATTTTTAACCTCACATAATCTGGCAACCTCGAATCTGAGCTCAACTTAATCGTTCACTGTGCCTAACTTTTCTAGGGCTTTTGAATAAGCTATGAATCATTGAAGTTATCCAATGGGAGCGGAGGAGTTGCTTGGACACACACATGCATAAACACTGTACTTTATATATAAGAAAAATATATATATATATATATATATATAAGCAAATATATGGATATAGATCCGACAGTATGAAGAAAATACATAAATTTTAACATGATTATAACTAATGTAAATATAAATCGACGGGACATTTAAATTTAAGACCATCTTCATTTTATTTTATTTAAACAGTTCAAGAAATCCTTCCATTTTTGAAATCATTTTTGATTTGCTTTTGTAACGTGGAGGACTTCAAGAACATATGAAGATATAAGAACCTATTAATGTGACTACGTATTTCCATATCAAAATAAGGGATTTCTTTGAACTGTTTATATAAAAACAGCTCAATCGAATTTTTTAATATTTTTTATTTGGAAATCATCTTCGACTTCAAGCTTGCCACAACATTACCCACGTGATGATATCCACGGAAGGGATTTCTTCATATTTAAAACGGAACGCTGATCTTATATAAAAAATTTCAGTTATCTTTTTTTAAGGATTAGTTGTGCTCTTATGTCCATCGTCTTTGTGTTAAATTTTTATATGTTCTAATGTTAATTATGTTTAAATGAAAATGTCCATGAAGATGGTCTTAATAGACCCAAAACGCCTGACGTCGAAATTTATATTAACATTAATACAGCATAATTGCATGTTAAAATTTTTGTTTGTTTTTTCTGTATTTTTCTTCATTCGTATATATTATATATATAGTAGTTAGGCTGGAATAGGTTTTTTTTTTTTTTAAGACAAAAACTATTGAAAACAGATATTTTATGTTGATTAATTTTAATGATCATTTTTTCCAAATTAAAAATAACCCTTCTCAAACAAGATAACTTTGGACAATTCTTGATGGAATTTCCTCCTTGTTTGAGAAGGGTTATTTGTAATTGGAAAAGATGATCATTAAAATTAATCAACATAAAATATCTGTTTTCAATATATGTACAAATATTTATTTCTTACTTGCAGACAAACTTTAAGGAAATAAAATTTTTATGCTATTAACATAATTTCTATTTCTTTTGCAAAATAATGAATAATTTATGATGAAGCTTTTAGTTTTCAATTTTTGTTTTGAAAACATCACAATAGTATCTTTTTATTTTTAGAGTTCAATTATATAGACAAATGGGGCAAAATTCTAAGTTAACTTTTCTTTAACTTTCTCACTGCTAAAGTGAATTATGCTTGCACTTTTCAATACCACTGTGTCTTTTACCTTTTCTCTTCTTAACTACTCCTCAATTCTTTTTCCTTTTCTTTATTCACTATTTCTGTTACTGTTTTTTCCAACCAGGCCTTTTACTTGCTGATTTTCCACTTCTGTTTGATAAGGGCACAAACAACATTCAATGTTTAAAGCGCAGTTACTATTTCTGGATTCCAACATGAAAACAGGTGGAGAAGAAACCAGGTACAATAGTATCTTGAAGTCTGCAAATGCTTTAAATTAATCTAATCTGTAAAATGGTGCTGTATCACATTGATATTAGTTGTGTTGTGGGGTTTACATGTCCCTAGATTGTGTATTTTTTTTAAATTACTAATGTTCACTCAATACAAGGGCCAAGAGCCAGTCAAGGTAGAGGGTTACTGTGTGGTGTTGTAGGATAATAAGAGAAGGCAAGAAGTGCAGTTCATGACGTTAAGTAGGAAAAATAATGGTTAACCTTAGCCTTGAAGAGGTTAGGATTGTAGTGATCGAGAATACAATCTGCCAGAAGTTTGTTCCACAAAGCTGCCGTGCTTGAGAAGTTGTCCAAGAATTTGCTGCTTTGTCGAAGAGTATCCTGGGTATGACAATAAACTACATCCAGCAGCAAGACGCCTGATCAGAAGATTTTGAGGAGTGTGGAACCACCTCTTAATTACTCTTATTCCCAGGTCCACTCTGATCTGATTTTCCAATTTCAATGACGAAATCAAAATCTGATGTCAACTCTTAGTTTTTGATACCATACTTTCTTCTAATCATTATGGATAGAAAGTACAGAATTGATTGACTGATTTGTTTTCTATGATTTATCAACACTTTGCTGGTTATTTAAAGCCAAAAAATATATTAGACTGTTAGAATTTTTTGAAGATAATGATTTTAGTGATCCAAGTCTTACCAAGCTGGGGGTGGGGGAAGAAGAGGTGGATTCATACCTTTCCCAAGGATATTTGTGCATAACTGAATATAATAAACACAACTAGAATTGGAACTCGACTCTCTGATTAACAATTCCAAGCATTTATTCATGACACCATTCACACTTCCAAGCTTACAGCAGCTGGTCTTCCCAAGTAGTCACCCATCTAAGTACTGACAAGTCTCAATGTTGTTTAACTTCAGTGATTGTATAGGAACTAGTATTTTCAACAAAACTAGAAAATTAAAGTGATTCCAAGTTTGTTGCTTTGTTTTCCCCAGAAGACTTATTGGGATGAGAACAACATTGAGAAAGATTCTTTACAAGAAGTTAAATGTACAGAGCTAAACTTTCTTTGCAGCCCACATTACCAAATTTTATTCTTAGTATCAATCTTACTTATTTACTCAATGTTGATGTCATGGACAAGATTTTTTCAAATATGTCAAAATTTAATCACTCAATGACAAATAGTAAAAATATATTTTAGTATGCAGACATCTAAAACATTTCAGCTCATTGATCACTGAATAGAGTTATCCATTTTCTGTTAAATTTTTTTTTTTTTTTTTTTTTTTACACAGAATATTAACTTTATAGGCATACCTTATGAATAAAAAGGATATATTTTGGTACTACTTGCAAAAGAATTTATAATAACTCACTCTTGTTGAGAGTTGGACTGAGTACAAGAAAGTTGTTCTCAAGGCTAGCAATAAAAATCAATATTAATAGAATTTTGTGACTTAACCAACTAATCTCATAATATTTCAGTGATCAGTATTTATATTGTGATTTGATAATTGGGGTGGAGTTAGTAGGAGTTAGTGATAGTAGAGGGAAACTATATTAAGGATTTTATTACAGAAATACAGTGAAAATCAGGAAAAAGGTATTGTCAGTGTTCAGGAATTAATGGAAATATAGAATAGGATTATTTATGTTGGTTCCAGTCTTTTACGGAATAACTGCAAAACACTTTCCTCACCCCAATTTATAGTCAGGAGCACACAAATGCATGCTGGGATTTCTTTCTAGCCAATAGAATAGGTTAGTTCTTGGTTTCATATGATTCAGTCCTAGTCTATCTTGTCTAGAAGACATAATGCTACATTTGCTTAGCCAAATTTGCTCCTCATCCTGGGTAAGATGTTAAACTACATCCAGCAGCAAGGCCTCTGATTAGGAGATTTTGAGGAGTGTGGAACCATCTCTTAATTACTGGTGTTCCCAGGTCCACCCCAACCTGGGGTGGTAGCACCTGTTAGGGTCCCAGCTATGGGCAAATAGTTAACTATTACCAGCAATACTTTTTTGAAAAAAATTATTACCAGCAATACAATTTTGAAGGAAAAATATTACCAGAAACAGATTTTTGACAAAACAAAATATTACCAGCAATAAAGGTTGAGGTTGATGTGCCGTAAAACAAAATAAACAAAATCAATCTAAACCAAAGAATACATATTCTATTCATACGAATCTATCCTAAAAATGTTGTCAGCATTAAATAAACCATTGAGGTTGATATGCCGTAAAACATAATAAACCAAACCTATCTAAACCAAAGAATACATATTCTATTCATACAAATCTATCCTAAAAATGTTGTTGGCATTAAATAACTCAATGAGGTTGATATGCTGTAAAACAAAATAAACCAATCCAAACCAAACTTGCTCTTACATGTCAACCACAATTCTTAGTTTATGGACTTTTTGCCATATTACTGTTGCTTTGCCTTATTACTGTTAATTTGCCTTGCATATATTGTTTGCTTGCTTGCTTTATATTATTTTTTGCCCTGTTCTTTTCTTTTTCTTGTTGTTGTTTATTGCAAACTTTGTCAATTCTGATTGTATGAGCCATTCTGTCATTTATTTACATTAACCATGGCCACTCACTTTTTATAAGACATAATAAAATGACATTTATGAATAAAAATTTCAGAACTAGTTGTATTCCTTGTTTTATCTGATTTCACTTTTAAAATAAACCAGTTGAAAATATCTATCTGAATTTCTGGGCTGAGGAGTTATCATTATTTACAGTATTTACATTCAGACTATTGTCCTCATCTTTGTTGTTGTCATGTTTCGACCATTGTACCATCTGGTATTCCTCAGGTGTATATCAGGAGTTTATTCCCTGGGTCAAGCAGAGTGTACTTGGACCTAGTGGAAACAAGGTGAGCAATAACTGAGCATTACTAAAAATAAGAACTAAATGAAACATCACAAGATGCAGCCAGTGGAACAAGAACAGCCTATCCCTGTAGATTAAATAATGGGTTCAATCTGGAATCACCTGTAGGTTACTCAGATTGATGTACACCTGATGAAGGCCTGAGGGCATGACGGCTGGAACGTTGTGATAACAACAACAAAGATGAGAATAACAGTCCAAATGTAAATAGTGTAAACAGTTGAAAATACTTATTGGTCTCAAGTAGCAATGTTATAGATGACTTACAAAAGGAAACTAATCTAGTGTATTCTGAAAGAGAAAACCCCAATGGAATATTTCAGAGAAAGGATAATAGCAGTAAAAAATCTGAATTGCTTTAACCTACAGCATCATAGCAAAATTATCTAAGATGAATGATTACTTACATATAACCACTCACTCATTCTCCTCACCCTGAAGCATGGAGAGGAAGAAGAGGGGGTGCAGAAATTAGTTGACATGTGTTCCTCAGCAGGAGGCACACTTATTTTAGCAATGAAAAGCATGTAGCTAAGTTTGGAGTTAAGTGAAACATCCCTGCTGCCTTCTGAGTTTGCAATAACAAATCAACCCATCTTCCCAAGGCCAATGCTGCCAAACAATGAGGCCTTGTTTCTTAGGATTTTAAATTACCTTCACTTTTTGTTCAGCAGAACAAACAAACAACAAAATAAAAAAATAATGGTGCTTTAGTATTTTTAAAATAACTGTCAATCACAGCTGTCAATTTTCTCCCCGTGGGGGTACATTGGATAGAAGCTGAAACTTGTCATTTAAGGTTATAAAGAAAAAGTATCTTTAATAACAACAACACACCTCCCCCAAATATGCACAAATAATAGAGATAGATAGGGAGATAGCTATGATAGGATAAGGAAGAAATAGGAAACCTTTATAAATATAATATATTTTGCCTTTATTAAAACTTCATTAGAGATTCTGGTATTTTAAAGTTTTGTGTTGCTTTTCATTTGTTATGCATTTTGTCTTGTAAAGCAGTGTGTGTGGCTTGCAGCCATTTTTATTTATATATGGTGGACATCTGCATGTTGATGTGGGGGCTGTTTTTATGCGACATTATAGGTAGATATATATGGGGAGAGAGAGATATATATATAGAGAGAGAAGGGGGAGAGAGAGATAAATAGAGAGATAGAAAGAGAAATAAATAGAGATATGGAGATAAATAAAGATAGAGATATGAATAGACATATAGATAGATAGAGATAGACAGATAGGTGTATAGAGAGAGATGCTGGTAGAAATCAGGAAGATCTCTATAAATGCTTCTATGTAAGCCAGGTCACACAAAAGTAATTGAACTCATCTCTCTTATGATATATCATTGTGATATATTAATGAGCTAACATGAATCTGGATATGGTGTGATAAAACTTTTTTTTTTTAACCAAATTTTATTGAAAGATTTCAAAAATACATTAAGCTTTCTATAAGGTTTCTATATTCAGAAAAAAAATCCGGGATGGTAGAACTTGCATTATGACTTGTAGTTCTATTGAGATTATATATATATATATATATATATATATATATATATATATATATATATATTAAAAAAAAAAAAAAAAAAAAAAAAAAAAAAAAAAAAAAAAAGAGAAAAAAAAAAAAGAGAAAAAAAAAAAAGAGAAAGAAAAAAAAGAAAAAAAAAAAAAGAAAGAAAAAAAAGAGAAAGAAAAAAGAGAAAAAAAAAGAGAAAGAAAAAAAGAGAAAAAAAAAAGAGAAAGAAAAAAGAGAAAGAAAAAAAAAAAGAAAAAAAAGAGAAAAAAAAGAAAGAAAAAAGAAAAGAAAAAAGAGAAAAAAAAAAGAAAGAAAAAAAAAAAAGAAAAAAAAAAAAAAAAAAAAAAGAGAAAGAGGAAAAAAAAGAGGAAAAAAAAAAGAGAAAGAGGAAAATAAAAGAGAAAGAGGAAAATAAAAGAAAAAGAGGAAAATAAAAGAAAAAGAGGAAAATAAAAGAGAAAGAGGAGAAAAAAAAGGAGAAAGAGAAAAAAAAGAGAAAGAGAAAAAAAAGGAGAAAGAGAAAAAAAAGGAGAAAGAGAAAAAAAGAGAAAGAGAAAAAAGGAGAAAGAGAAAAAAGGAGAAAGAGAAAAAAAGAGAAAGGAAAAAAAAGGAGAAAGAGAAAAAAAAGGAGAAAGAAAAAAAAAAGGAGAAAGAAAAAAAAAAAGATCTATAGTTTTTTTTTTGTTTTTCTTAATAAGTATTCTCCAATAATATCTTGTTCACTTTCTTCAATCCACACCCAAGATTGTATTGTGTTCATATTTACTCAGCTTAACTTTGTTTGACAAAGGGCCAGATGGTGGACATTTTGTGTTGCTTTTGAGCTTTCAAATGGAAAGGCTTTATCACTCTTAAAATATTAACATATAAAATCCTGCCTTTTATATAGAGTCAAGCAAGGGAACAAAATGCACAACTACTCCAGCTACCAGGTGAGCTAGACTTCTCATTCATTTGGAAATGGAAATGAAAAAGGTAACTGCTTTGTTAAATTTTATAGGTTTTCTGTTCTACTTATATGTGCACCAGAGACATTATCATTGCCTTTCTGTCTGGTTTCATAATTTAGAGATTACTTGGCCCTTTTTTGTTCTTTTACAAGTATTAGCATTTTCTAAGCTAAGGTAAGTCAGAGATAGAGTCCAAAGATGCAGGGAACACAATGAACATTAAATTCTATGTCTTGTGAGTGTTAAATTTTCCAAGCCTTCCTTCATTATTATGTATTACCTCGCAACTCTCGCCTGTGGAACACCCTTCCCAATTACTGTTTCCCTGAGAGCTATAATCTCCAACTATTCAAATGTAATGTCAATCGACACCTTAATCTACCCACTATCCTTCTCCTCATCCTTTCTTCTATCACTCCTATCTGCTCTTGCTCCAAATCTTCTGCAACCCCCTGCATCCTAGTGGCTTCACTCCTTGCTCAGGGCATAATGCTTAAAAAAAAAAAAAAAATCACTCTGCTGAGTGATATGAAAA